AACTGCTGGATGATTCTCAACATGCTTTTTAAATTTTTCTAATGATAATTTAAATGCTTATCAACATGGATCTTTTTTTATGATTTATAGTATGGCTGCAAAAACAATAAAATAATTTTCCTCCATCAACACAATGGCTTTTTTTTCTCAGATGTTCTGATTGCAGTAAGCACCATTTTGTCATTAATATAGATATATGGGGTTCTCTAGCAAAAACCGGTTCTGATATCTGGCCAAATTTAAGTTTTTAACATAACATTAACCTATAACATATAGACTATAATTGGTGAAAATGTTAGACCCTGTTTGCTTAATAAAAAAAAGGGAAATTGTGGCTGGATACCTTCTTTAGAATAATTTGCACAAATATAAAAACAGATCTACATACCTATTTTTGTTATGTGCAATAAAATTTACTTTGCATATTAAAAATAATACATTAAATTATTAATTGGCTAGGTTTTGGGCAAAGAATATCTAAGGTTTGATAATTTTTGTGAAGCCAAATCACCTATAATCTCACTATTAAGCAAATTTCAGGTGATTCAATATCTTCTTTGAATTGTTAGGATTGAACAAAAGACATAATGGAAATTATAAATGATATTTTTTTAATAAAATAATATTTATTTCTGATGTTTAAAATTACACTTGTATAAAACTTTTTTTTATGAAAAATTTGGCCATTTTATTTTTAAAAAAACAGTTATATCTCCATATAAGGACCCTCCATATAAGAACACCTCTTGCTAAAAACACATTTTGCTGTAACAGACTGATTTTGATAACGATTTTCCATCTATACAAGAACCTTCTGTATAAGAACTAGAAACATCTTTTCAGTGATATTTCTAATATAATTTACCTCTATATAAGAACATTATCATATGAATTAAAAGAAATTAAAATGTCTAGAAATGTCTAGAAAAGAAATATGTACTTATGCTCAAAATGATATTAATTCTAAGCAACAACATATTGCTGACTTTTTTAGTAACAAGCATCCAGATATTGGCATTGGTTGCTCAAAAATTGTTAAAATATTAAGAAAAAGTAAATGATACTAATTCTATTTCTAAAACTAAATTTCGAAATAAAAATCCTAAATTTCCATTGCCTGATCAAGCTTTAAATCGCTGGGTAGAACAAGTATCAGCATCAGCTGTTGTATTGATTGAACAGCTTATTAAAGAGAAGAAGATGATTTCCATTTTTCAAATGGATGGATCCAAAAGTTTAAGAAAAGAAATCAATTGGTCTCTTATAAATTTCATGGTGAA